TAGGACCAGCGTAGGACCAGGGTAGGTCCAGTTAGGCCTGTCACGATAACAAATTTTGCTGGACGATTAATTGTCTCAGAAATTATTGCGATAAGCGATTATATTGTCGTTCTGAGATCATTTGCATCGATTAGAATGATAATGCAGGTACACCTTTTCAAAGAGAATAAACTTTTATTTTTAACGAATATTTAACGCTAGAACACAATAAATTAACAAACAACCAAAAACAATAAATAACATAGACTCAGTCTCTTAACAAAAAATGACCAGGAATAAAACTGCCAGGACCTTTGTAAAGAAACTATGAAACAGATGCCTCAAATGTCAATAATTTCTCAGACTTTATGACAGACTACAAGAAAGAAATACCAACATGTTGACTTTGTGTGGCTTAAGACAGGATCTCTCAGGAGTAGTCCCACCTCCCCACACACCACCAGGCGAATGACAAGTGACTGACATGTGGGTTCACCAATGGGGCGTACAGAAGTCCTGCTGCGGTAGCGCCCACCGGAAGTAGCGGGGCGGGCTTTGATGCTAACAGCTAAGCTAGCGGGTTTTTTGTGTAAAGTTCTACTCCAAGAATGCAAGTCTGCAGCATCTCTGTGTTCAGAGACCTTCTAGAGACTTTATATAACAGCAGTATGTGTTCACGGAGGTGCGCCATAAGTTTATTTTATTGGTATGGGACGGTACTTCTGCATCGGCGAACACGCTAACGCTAGCTGCGCTAGTATAGTCGCTAATCAAGCCTGAATGAGAACTCAGCTGCCGGCATATGTTCACAACTACTGTGTCCCCCATTGTCAATCCTGGTTAAGTCCTGGTTTAGGTTCTGTTTTGGCTGTATTTTGTATTTTTGAGTAATTTCCGTCTGCTTGCTAGACCGCTAATGTTCCCGTGGCCACTTTGCGGCTCTCTGACCCGAGAGAGACGGGGGGAACAAACAAGCTGCAAATGGGATTTATCGCGGCCAGAAAAGTTATTGAGCAAATTTTATTTATCGTGCGATTAATTGATTTATTGACTATCGCGACAGGCCTAGGTCCAGTGTAGGACCAGGGTAGGACCAGCGTAGGACCAGGGTAGGACCAGCGTAGGACCAGTGTAGGACCAGGGTAGGACCAGGGTAGGACCAGCGTAGGACCAGGGTAGGACCAGGGTAGGACCAGGGTAGGACCAGCGTTGGACCAGGGTAGGACCAGGGTAGGACCAGCGTAGGACCAGCGTAGGACCAGGGTAGGACCAGCGTAGGACCAGTGTAGGACCAGGGTAGGACCAGGGTAGGACCAGCGTAGGACCAGCGTAGGACCAGCGTAGGACCAGGGTAGGACCAGGGTAGGACCAGGGTAGGACCAGGGTAGGACCAGCGTAGGACCAGGGTAGGACCAGGGTAGGACCAGCGTAGGACCAGGGTAGGACCAGGGTAGGACCAGCGTAGGACCAGGGTAGGATCAGCAGGAGTTTTGTCAACAACAAATCTATAACCAACACCTTTTTCACAAAGATAGAAATCCTGGTTTTATTCCTTGTTTTGTCGTTAATGATTTGAGAATCATAACGAGACCTTTTTTAGTTCTGCGCCACATGGTACTTTACCAGTGAGATTAGCTCCACGCGGTGAGTTCTGGCGCCTGGATCACAGACTTTCTGATTGGTGAAACGGTGGAGGGCGGGACATCGAAATGAAAACAATAACAAGATTTATAGGCTGGAAAAGTAATTTAGAAATTCAAATATCTCTGAACTACTGTTATCAGTTAAAGAAGGATTGGAAAAGAGCAGTTAATTATTATGACAGATTAGGGCCCTTTAATGATGACAGATTAGGGCCCTTTAATGACGACAGATTAGGGCCCTTTAATGATGACAGATTAGGACCCTTTAATGAGGACAGATTAGGGCCCTTTGATGATGACAGATTAGGGCCCTTTGATGATGACAGATTAGGGCCCTTTGATGATGACAGATTGGGCCCTTTGATGATGACAGATTAGGGCCCTTTGATTATGACAGATTAGGGCCCTTTAATGATGACAGATTAGGGCCCTTTAATGATAACAGATTAGGACCCTTTAATGATGACAGATTAGGACCCTTTAATGAGGACAGATTTGAAGAATCTACTTTTCCAACTCTTCAGAACCTGCACTTGTGTTGTTTAAGCTGCGAGGCTCAGAGGCCACTACCTTTCATCTTCTTGTCTTTTGGATGAGTAGACCTCTCTCCCTCCCTCCCTCCTTCCCTCTCAACTTCCTTCCCTTCTCCCTCCCTCCTTCTCTCCCTCCTTCCTCCCTCCCTCCCCTCTCTCTTTCTCCTTCTCCCTCCCTCCCTCCTTCTCTCCCTCCTTCCTTCCTCCCTCCCCTCTCTCTTTCTCCTTCTCCCTCCCTCCCTCCTTCTCTCCCTCCTTCCTTCCTTCCTCCCCCCCTCTCTCTTTCTCCTTCTCTCCTTCCCCCCCCCCCCCCCCCCCCCCCCCTCCCTCCTTCTCCCTCCTCCC